CATGAGACCAAAAGAAAGCAGATCTGAGCCATAGCAAGTGATTTCTGAATTACTCGGTAGAGAGAGATAAAATGTGCCCCAATATACGCCTAAAAGATGGTCACGTGATAAATCACGTGCTATATTTTAGACGACAATATATGAAAAGGATCAAATTGTACCCTTTTAAAGAGTTTGAGATTTGTTTTATTAAAAAAAAATTTAGAAATTAAGGCTTCGTTCACTTTACAGATTTAAGTTGAGATGTGATATTTTTTAGAAACTTTTTATTGTAGCAAAAAAAAAAGATGTGACATTTTCTGAGAACTTTTTACTGTAAAAACTTAAAACTGAAAACTCGAATCGGTGAAATGAACGAGGCTTAAATGTCACATTTTAAAGAGTTTAAGAACCATATGTATAATTTACTCTTATATTTAATAATAAAAATGATAATTTAAATATTATATATCCTAAAAATCAGTCTAAATAAAATCATTTCTTTAAAAGTAAAAATATTATTAAGAACACAAGATAATATCAACATGATTCACTATTCTTATAGTACTAAAATGATTTTAACTAATTAATTTAGTAGTTTTAAAACCTTACATGTCATTTTTCGTCATGGGTTACATTATATTCTCAAAAAAGATTATATTAATACGCTGTTCAAGTTGTATATTCAAATTACTCAAGCAACAAAAAGATTAACATAAAAACAACATTTCTCTACGCATTCATTTTACTAACTCAAATTTATTAATTTGAATTGTAAAAAATTTAAGTTTAATTTGGACTTTGAGTTAAGTGTTTAAGAGAAAATTAATTTGACATTTAAAACTTGAATTTTGTGTTCGCTTATACTAAAACTAAACTCTAATTATAAAAAAATGTCATTTTCTACAAAAATAATATATACACTGTAGAGCCAAACTTAAGTAATAAAAAAATAAGAAGTGAGTAAAACTCACCAACTCGAGTTATTACTTGAGTTTAAAATTTGAGTTACGTTTAATAAATACATAACTCAGTTTAATTTCACACTCAAAATATTGGTTATTTTGGTAAACTATTATTCTAATATTTCAAAAAATAATCTCCCCCACCTTTTTCCCTCCCCCGGACTCCACTCTCTCTTGCCGACCAAATGAAACCCCAGTCAGTCCCAGTCCTAGTATAAATCCGACGCTTTTCTCTCTCCTCTTTCTCTCTCTAACTACAGAAGACGAAGAAGAAGAAGAAGACCAAAAATGCAGGACATATTCGGATCAGTCCGGCGATCACTCGTGTTCCGTCCTCCGCCGGCGGACAACAGCGAAGAGTCTTCTCCAGTCCCGACCTTGGTCGACAAGATCAATTCCTGCATTCGCAAATCCAGAGTCTTCTCCAAACCCTCTCCGCCGCCGCCACCGCAACCGCCTTCTTCGATTCCCAAGGACGCTGCTCCGCTGATCCGATGGCGCAAAGGCGAATTGATCGGTTGCGGCGCCTTCGGACGCGTCTATATGGGCATGAATCTCGATTCCGGAGAGCTTCTTGCTGTTAAACAGGTATAGTTTAAGGATGTTGATTGTTTTTGTTTCAATTGTTTCTTCTTGTTGATTATTTTAGGTTTATATTGTTGTTTATTGTCTTTTTGAATTTTAGGGGTTTATGATCCATTTTGGGTTTGGATTTCGATTTTGAACTGTTTCTCGGCCAATTCTGTTCGAATTATTCTGTCTTTTTACTTTTGAAGGTCCGGGGCTAGTGTTCATTTCTTTTGTATTTAGTCTGATTTCGATCTTTTGCTTGGTTCGTTTCCAGGTTTTGATCGCGGCAAACAGTGCTTCGAAGGAGAAGGCACAGGTTTGAATTCAGCTCTCTTTAATATTCAATTACAATTCGTGTAGGTAAATACAATTGGTCGTGGTGATTCTGATACTGTTGCTGGGATTTTTCCTTTGCCGGGAAACCGAAGAAAGTAGGAAAAACTAGAAATGTTACTTATTCTATTTTGATTTGTGGAATCTTTAACTAATCAGTTGGTCCGATTCAGCTACGTTATGCTCACTGCTCATAAGTGTAGGTTTCGTTTTACTAATCACTTAATCTGATTTATACTTTTTGGATTTTAGGTCCCCAGCAATGTAATGTGTTGTAGTCATAAACATAGGTTTTAACTGACTAATTAGTCTGATATCTTTCAACAGATTAGGAGTTTTGGTATTTGAGATCATATATTGTAGTAATAAGTTTGATTTTCATTCAATGTCATTTCTCAGCTTCTATCCTTATGCTCTCTCTAAAAAATATTTAAAAACAACTAATGCTCTATGTCGTTTAATTGGTAGCGATTTTCTTATTAATACATTGATTTGATGCTACAAGTAGGCTCATATCAAGGAGCTTGAGGAAGAAGTTAAGCTTCTGAAAACTTTGTCTCATCAGAACATTGTTGTGAGTACGGCCCTCTTGGCATCTATTTTACTTGTGAAGCCTGTCACTTTTCTGATAGTCTTTTTTTGTTTTGGTTCCTCAGAGATATCTGGGTACAGTGAGGGAGGAAGATAACTTAAATATTCTCTTGGAGTTTGTACCTGGCGGATCAATATCATCACTCTTGGGGAAATTTGGGCCTTTCCCAGAAGCTGTAAGTCTTGCTGTTTTACTTTGCATCTCTGGCTGTTTTACGAGTTGAACTTATAAAACCAATTTGCCAAGCAGGTTATAAGGACATATACAAAACAATTGTTACTGGGATTGGAGTATCTGCATAAACATGGTATTATGCACAGGGATATTAAGGTATATTCTCATACCTATAAGTGTTATCTATGTGAAAAATGGTGTTTGTTTCCCTTAATCGTGCAAGTTTATGACATGTATTTCATATCAACTTTTCAGGGAGCTAACATTCTTGTCGATAATAAAGGATGCATTAAACTTGCAGATTTTGGTGCGTCTAAACAAGTTGCTGAGCTGGTACGTGCACTTCCTTTTCATCACTCTTTTTGTTTTCTCCAACTTCTGATGTTTGCTTTGGAGAATTGTTTAATTACATTTTCCCCCTTCTAATTGGGATGTGATTACAGGCAACAATTTCAGGGGCCAAGTCTATGAAGGGCACTCCATATTGGATGGCTCCTGAGGTCGTTCTCCAGACTGGTCATAGTTTGTAAGGACAATAATCACCATCTCAGCCACTTCTTTGTTTTAAGCTGGCGTTTTATGATGACAATTAGTTTTATTGTTCTATGATTTTTGCATGGAATAGGACGATAGTCTCCGGAAATATGTAAAACTATAGTAAACTGTAAACACATAAAATGATCTTATACTAAACTCTTCTTATGCTTGCTCCACTTTTGTTCGCCCTTTTGTATAGTTATGATCACTACTTGGCATAGAAACTGAACATTACTGATATTTTCTAGCTCCGCTGATATATGGAGTGTCGGATGTACTGTAATTGAGATGGCCACCGGAAAACCTCCATGGAGCCAACAGTTCCAAGAGGTAATTTCCTGCTACTTTTCTTCCAAGGAATATATCTAGTCAGACATTGATTGCTGTATTATATCTTCGAGGAGGAGATATTCCAATTATTTTCACTAAAGTAACTTCCCTCTAGGTCGCTGCTCTTTTCCATATAGGGACTACAAAGTCTCATCCTCCAATTCCAGAGCATCTTTCTGCTGATGCTAAGGATTTTCTGTTGAAATGTTTGCAAAAGTATGCCATTATTTTTCTCTTATCATTTTAGTTTGAATTCACAGAATGTCCTCTCTCTTACACTGCTGTTATTTTCTTTAAGTTCTGTTTTGTTTCTTTTGATTTAAGTTGTTTTTCACTGTGGTCGAATGGCAGGGAACCAAATCTCAGGCTTGATGCATCTGGGTTGCTTCAGGTTATATAAATTCATATCCTTTCTTTAGTTTATTTGAAGTTTGAACATTGCTAGTGGTCTATCTATTTCATCTAGTTTTGCTTTCAATTTCTATGGCATATCAATGTTGGACAGGCCCAAATTATGTAGGACCAGGCATGATTTAATTAAGAAAGATGAAGTTACCCGTTTTGAGTCTCAGCTTCTAGTTTTTAGTTTCTCGTTAGTTATTCATTTACGTATACTTCTTGTTTATCGTTTTCATAGTTTCCTAATTCTTGGTTACCCGTTTATGATTTCCTGCAGCTATTAAAGTATGCGTTACACAGTCCTAATTCTTGGTTACCCGTTTATGATTTATAGTTTTTCTTTGTTTCCTTAATAACCCAAATCTGCTACACCACATATACTTATGCTGATAGCCAAAATTCTACGTCCATTAAATAACAATTTCGCTGTTGTTTAACATTCTAATCTACTAATTTGCGCAGCATCCCTTTGTAACTGGTAAAAACATGGAATCTCAAACTCTTTTTCGTACTCCTGAAACGGTTAGTTAGTTCAACTGGACTATATGCTCCACAGTTACGCTTTTCTTTCGAAACGGGCTTATTAATGAGATTTCTTTTGTAATATCAGGAAAATTTTGATTCTCCATCTCCATCATATCCCAAAAGCCTGGAAACCTTGTAAGCATTGCAATTAATGTTTTTTAGCTTCCGGAAATTATAAGGAAGTGTTTCATCTGATTATTTTCAAGCTTTTAACTTGGTAGCTTTATTTGGTTTCCAGTAAAACGTCAACTTGCTCCGACACAACTGATATCTGTAACTTGGGTAGTCTGCACTGCTCAATTGTGTCTCCTAGGAAGTTGTTAGAAAGAAGTAATTGGAAAGGTAACGGCAGTGATGATGACATGTGTCAGATTGATGACAAAGATGATATTACTGCGAGTGAAGTGAAGCTCAATTCTTCTTTGATTTCTGACGAGTTTAAGGTGACTTTTTTATTTTTTATTATTTTTTTATTTTTTTAAGGTTTGGTCAAAGATGATATTACTGCGAGTGAAGTGAAGCTCAATTCTTCTTTGATTTTTGACGAGTTTAAGGTGACTTTTTTATTTTTTATTATTTTTTTTATTTTTTTAAGGTTTGGTGGGGATATTTCTTACGCCAGTCAATAGTCCTGAAACTAATTGTTTATTTATTTATTTTTTGTTACCCAGAGTTTTAACCCCATAAGTGAGCCCAATGATGACTGGGAGTGCAAATTTGATGGAAGTCCAGAACAACAATACAAACAAATAAATTTGGAAACTGATCAACAAATTCATTTGACTGCCAGTTGCTCTGGAACTTTTAGTGATGGAGATAAAAACTTTTCATTTCCCTGCGGACCATCGCTTTCTGAGGATGACGATGAACTTACCGAGTCAAAAATTAAAGCTTTCTTGGATGAGAAGGTACTGTCTTGAGTTGGTCACTAAGCTGCAGTATTTAGTACAAGGACTTGAAATTTTGCATGTGGATGTACATAAACCCATCATATTTTCGTGTTTTCCATAAATTGGACATTCTCGGAATGTCCAGTAGGCATATCTTAAGCCATGCACTGTTAAGTGCGTCATGTCATGTTGACACATGCATGACATAGCTAGAACGAGTGGTCCTTAACTCGTTCTGCAGTCATCCTTTTTACAGCCTTTGTCTTTCCACTAAAACCATTCTGATTTCTGCATTGAAACTTGAACAAAATCAGGCTTTAGAATTGAAGAAACTGCAAACGCCCTTATATGAGGAGTTCTACAACAGCTTGAATGCAGCTGCCTCTCCTAGTTATGTGGACAGCACAGGTGACGAAGCTAGTCCAAGGTACTTGAAATTACCTCCCAAAAGCAGATCACCCTCTCGGGGTCCCATCGGTAACACTTCTCCAGCAGTTGATGTTCTTAGTACCGGAAGCCCGGGGAGTAATGGTAGGCGTGTATCAAATATTTGTACTACAAGCAATCGTGCTTTAAAGGACACCCCATCACCTCCACGTAATGATTGGAAAGGGCTTTTAGTTGATGCTCAGCAGGAGCCAAGTAGTCCAAGGTTTGTCATGAGTTTCAGCTTCCCAAGAATTGATGATGTCTTTTTGACTTTGCTGTGTTGATATCTGACACTATTTACCCTGGCACTTGCTGTCTCAGCTTTTCTGAGAGACAGAGAAAGTGGAAAGAAGAGCTTGACCAAGAGCTTGAGAGGAAGCGAGGTTAATAATTTACTTTCATTCCTAGTAAAGTTTGATTATTTTATTTATTTTATTTTATTTTTGTTACATCCAGTATTTTGTAGTTGGAGTTAGATTCTTTCCTTTGCCTCACTGTATAAGTTGGTCGTAGACTCATACCATTTGGAAGCAAATAATTTACATTCAAGCAACAACTATATAAAGTTAAAGGATTTACCCATTAGTGGGTATCATTGTTTTGATTGTAAGATATTGATCCGCCGGTTGTAATAAATTGAGTAGTTGATCAAAATTTTTTTATGAAATTTAATGAATTTAGATTCTTATCACGCCACATCATCAAATTTTTATATTTGATAGGTAACCACCATGGAAACGTAACCATTTGAAACTCGTTCCAAAGTTAAAAGGTTGTTTTGTCTATAAGTAGTTAAGGTATTGAAGGTGATTATTACTAAATACACAAGCGTATATTGTTTTGTTTATTTAAATGTACAAAAAATAATGTCAATTGTCAATAGGAATTCTTTTAGAATTATGTGAAGGTTCTAATGAGTGAAATTCCTGCAGAGATGATGCGCCAAGCAGGTGTGGGAGGAAAGACATCATCACCTAAAGATCGAGCCTTAAGTAAGCAGAGAGAGCGAACAAGGTTTGCGTCTCCTGGCAGCTGAGTATTGCCCTATCTAAGAGTGTTCTTTCTGGCATTCTGGGAGGTATACTTTCCATGGAGTTCATCACTCAAGCTGCAGTTTTCCAGCTCGACTTAAAAACAGCAGCAATTCAACGTCTCATTCAATTCAATTCCTCATTGTTCGTCTGAAAAAAGGTCCTTGTACGTCCAAGGATAATCTATCAGAAGTGTGAAAGCATGTTATAGATTTACTTGAGTTTGTTTAGGTGGTTTTGAGATGGGGGAGGGTACATATTTCTCAAGTTTGTACTCAGTGCATAAAAGTTGTAAATTTTATGTAGAATAATATGTGATTAGAAAAATACTACGAAATTTTATGCCACTTTTTTATGTGTGGTTTGATCACAATACATCTGATTCTTGTGATTACATATGGATTTTCTCATTTGCAACTTGTGTATATTAAGCAAAGTTGAACCTTCCCTTTATTTTTGCATTGGAAGCCATTTTTGTTTAAAAAATAATCTTGTTATTTCTTTAAAATGGGCAAATTTTTAAGATCCAAGATCCACTAGCTATTACTATAAGTAACCTTGGAATCTTGTACACGAACAATCAATAGAAAAGGGATTACAAATTCACACCCACACAGGAAAAACAATAGAAATCAATCAACTATGGACATCGAGAAAATATCTGAAAGAAACCACCAAAATCCAGGCCTAAATCCCAAACTCAAATTCTCCTAGCAGATATTCCCATTGGGATTGAAGAAGTTGGGCGTTGCTTTAATCCACTCATTGTTGTTAGCCCATCACTCTTATGAACACTGCTCTTTCTGCTCTTCAGGGGAGACAGAGATACCAATCTGTTTGCCAATCTTGAAGGAGATAAAGAGCGGCGCAGCTTCGAAGCAGTCGACACTATCGGGGACTTCTTCGTCACACTGGTCGCTCTTGCTGGAGGAGACCGAGTAACCAATGGTGAGCTCTTGATCTTCACCTGAAACTTTGAAGCCGAAGGCGGCGACTTGATCAAGAACTTGTGTGGAGTAGTCTGAGTGTTTTGCTTGTTTCTTGCAATGACCGGAGACCTTGTCTTGAAAAACTTTTTCTGTTCTATTGAGTTTGTGGAAGAAAACAGAGGATTGGGAAATAGAACAGTTTTTTTAGCCCATGGCTTATGCCTGGGAGAAACTCTGTTTGCCAAGTATCTACTAATTTCTTTCTCGGTTTCTCTTTTATTTGGAGGCGAGATTTTGAAGTTGATTCGGGAACGAGCCCGGCGGAGCGTCGGGGAGTTGGATTCTGGTCGAGTCGAGTGTGCTTTGTTTTGCTTCTCCTTTTTCCTTCTGGCCCTGAGCTCTGTGTCTTCAAGCTGAGGTCTGTGTTTTCTCTGGCGTAGGAGTTTTGTTTTTGGATCTTCTAGGGTGATTTTCTTGGTTTTGTTGGAAACTGCTGCCACTATTTCTTTTGCAAATTGACTTGCTTGCAGGATTTCTCCGACCGTTTCTCCAACGAGCATTGCCGGCAATGACATTCGCCGCCATTCCCCTGCTTGAATAAAAGAATCTTGGTTTATTTCCTTGTCTTCAATGTGTTTCCGACAAAAAAGAAAAAAAGAAACTAATTTCTTTTATCAAAATAGTGTGAACGCACAGAAACTAATTTCTGTTTTCTCCACATGATTAATTTGAGAGAACAAAAGCAGAATTACTGACTATTTCCTTTTCCATGAGAAAAAGAATCATTTTCTGATAAACCAGACGAAAAGTATGCTTTTCGATGTGCTGAGCCACAAAAAGAAATCACCAACATTCTCTGAAACCAAATTCAAGGGTATGCTTAAATGTGAACACAAAAACCAATTTTCCCCACATTAAAATTTGAGAGTACAAAACACTTAAATGTTCCAATTTTCTTTTTCTTTTTGAGAATAAAAAAAAAAAAAAAGACTTTCTGAGAAACTAGACGAAAAGTGGTTAAAATGTGATGAACAAAAACAAATCGCCGATTTTCCCAGTGACCAAATTGAAGTGGTCTGCTTATATGCTCAAACGTGACATAAATTTGAGAGAGAGAGAGAGATACCTCCTGAGTTTGCGGGAAACTTCCCCACCGGAGATTTCCTTGGGGCTGCATTTCTTATCCTTGAAAATATACAAGAAAAACATAAGGACCCATTTGAACGATAATAAAAATTCTTCATTACGAGCAAAAGCCAAATGAGATTTCATACATACCTTACAGACTCCTGCTTGCATCGGAGACTAGTCCTGAAATAGCCTCTGGTACTTCTAGGGCTCAGACTCGCCCCTGATATCACCTTCCTTCCTCCTGCTACCGTGTATTGAAGCTCCTGTAATCTAGCCATGCATCGATCCACCTTCAAAAAAAAAAAAAAACACCCATTAATTAGCTAAAAAGACTAAATTTCAAAGACCCAACTTTTGAAATTTCTGTTTTATTGCCATTTTTTTTTTGTTATTATGGATGGATTTCTCCGAAACTAAGAAGATAGTTACTTCACCTTTTGCACGGTTTCCCTTAGCAGAACTGGATTAAGAGCTGCCAATACTTTCCTCTGCTTCGGTGGACTTCTCGCCACCATTTTTGCGATTCCAAAACTAGTCTTCTGGGGTCTGAAAGATCTCTCTCTCTCTCTCTGTTCTTCCTTTCCTAAGCTTCTCTCTGAAGTGAAAAGTCGAACAAAAGAACTAACTCAGGATTTGTTTTTTGTTTTTTTATGTTTCGCCTCTTTTTGTTCCAACGGTCGAATTTATCCAAGTGAAACGTATGTTAACGTATGCAAAGCAAAACGGCTATCTGCTGTTTTCAATAGTTTGCTCATCTTTTAAAGAGAGCCGTTGGTCGCCAGACTCATGCTTAGATCCAACGGTCATAATATTTTCCCTGACTTTTGCTACTTTAGGCAGCTTCAACGACCACCCACTAGTAAATTTTTTTTTTTTTTTTCCGAACTTAGAGCCTCTTAAACCGATAATAATGATAATGATTTCCGGATATACTTTCGGTTTTTTTTTCCGTAAAAAAATACTTTCGTTTTTTTTTTCTCTTTGAGAAGACACTATTTAAAGTTAGAAGTGTCTAGGACAGCTAACTTATCCAAGCCTGAATCTTTTTTTTTTTGGACGAAAAAGTTCATAGAAGCAAATAATTCACTGGACTTGTCTCTCTAATTTATATTTAGATGATGAATACTCGGATTTCTTTTTGGATGAAAAAGTTCATAGTAGTTTACAAAAGAAAACAATTAAAAACAAATGGGAGATGATACGTAGTAGTAATAGTAAACAATTAAAGAAAGCAAATAATTCACTGGACTTGTCTCTCTAATTTATATTTAGATGATGAAGACTCGGATTTCTTTTTGGATGAAAAAGTTCATAGTAGTTTACAAAAGAAAACAATTAAAAACAAATGATACGTAGTAGTAATAGTAAACAATTAAAGACCAATCTCGGAGAAGATACATCATGTCTCGTAAGTAAGCATCATGTGTTTTTTTTTTTTTTTAAGAAAAAGGCATCTTATGAAAAGATCACAAAAGAATGTAAATTTTGTTTTTCCCCAATGTGTTGGATAATATGAACACTGACATGACATCGTTGAATTTCTCTTCAAGTAATGAAAAAGAACAAGGTCACTGAATATTGGTTGAAGATCGAGACGCCAATAATGATGGCCTCCTGTTAGGTTTCATGCCTCTCAACTTGAATGGGCTCCACACCAATGGTTTCCTTTGCAGCGCAATCACTGCCCCTGGATGGTGGTGCCTTGGAATGTTTGAACCGGCAGCCAGTGTTGGTGGACTCCCCATGAACTTACTGCTCCTCACAGCAAATGGTGTCGTCTCTCCTCCCACTGTTTTCATCTCAGGCAATGGGGAGAAGAGCCTTGAGTAACGCGCTTTCCGAGGATCTCTCATCATCGAGAACCTGCCTGCTGCAGCACCACCATTCTTAAACCTCGACGCTGAAGTGTGGAGTGGTGTTGTCAGATGACAATTTGGCTCGGGGCGAAAGGTAGCGATGGAGACTCGTCTCTTGGGCTTCAGACCCTGTGAGGTTGTACTACTGCTTAGAGGGGGGGGTCTGACAGTAGCAATGGAAATCCTTCTTGCTTGGAGAGGCCTTCTGTTTCCCATTTTGGGAATGTTTTCTTTGCAGTCTGCTGCTGAAGTGAACGGTCTCGTTTCCTTAAGTGGTGGCAGAGGAGATGGAGGGGGCAAAAAATTAGTTATTCTTCGGAGTGGGATCCTCAGTTTATTACCATTAGGAGCCAAAGGTGGCTTCTTATCCGTTGCAGTCTTCTGTACTACTTGTTTTAGACTTAGAGATGATGTTGATGAGGATGGAGCAGAAGCAGCAGCTAAAGCTCTAGATTCCTGTTTAAGTCTGGCTTTCCTTTCCTCCGCTAATTGGTTCTCAAGGTCTCGAACCTATTAAAGAAAAAAAAATCTCTGAAATCATGGAAAATCACCAAAAACTAGCAGCAAGGTTAGGTATCTTTGTATATAATACCTTTTCTTGAAGATTTCTGCAGACCTGCTCACGGGCAGCAAGCCTCAACTGACAGGATTGCAAACTTTCCTGTAGTTTTTTTGTTTCTTTCTCATCATGCTTAAACTTTTCTGCCTGTAGATATTAAAAAAGTTCAAGTTAAAATAGTTAGCATCGGTAACATGGAATGAGATCAAAAGTGAATGTATTAACATACCATTTGCTTGTACTTAAAGAGCTCAGTAAGGTCAGTCTGTTTGCGAGCAGGTCCACTTTCAATTCCCCGAACTCGACTGGCAAAATTCAGGGAGCAAAGTGTTTCTCCTAGATCTGATGAACTTGGGCTAACTTGGACAAACATCAAAGTTTTGCAATCTCCTCCTGCAAATTCAATATATATATATATATATATATTAGCAATTTTCTCACTACTACTTACTGATTACATTATCGTACACTTGCAGACTTGTACGTTGCACCAAGATAAAACATTTGAAACAAAGTTTTAAGTTAAAACAAAAAAAGGCTCACCTAGAGAGCTCTGCAGCATGTGGGTTAGCTTCGAGTTCCTGGTTTCAGACAAAAGGTAGAAAGATAAGAGATGTATAATAATCAAGAGTACCATGTAAAAAAACTGGCTATTGTGAAGATGAAGAGACCTGTAAGGAACGTGAGTGGTTTTAGATGCAAGGGCAGATATAACATCTCCAAGGGCTGAAAGAGATTTATTTATAAACTGAGACTCCTTCAATCTTTCACCTTCAACTTCGATTCTTCCAATACGCTCACTACCAGCCAAATCGACCAGCCAAAGGTGACTCCTTGTCCTTTGCCCATTTATTAGATTCTCCCCCTTAACAGTCACTCGCAACAAGCTATAAATAGACATGTTTCAATCATTTCTGTGTCATAAGAAACAAAAATTGAAATAAGGAAATTAAGATATTTGGAGCAGTTATAGTACCAGTGAGAACGGCTGCTCATTTCATTGAGACTGGTGGATCCAACAGATCTGACTCGGCTTCCAGACTTGAGCAGTTCCCACACATTCTCGATACCGAAAACATGAGCTTCCACTAGCCCGGGAACTTCCTGTGTTCCGTCCGTAGCTTGCTTAATTTCCAACCTTCATGCACATAAGAATAATAAATAATCACAAAGTCTTCAACAGGTGAAAAACAGGTGAATATTTTCATTGTTTCTTGGGAAACATTTAACGATAGACAAGAGAAATGATATGTAGTTGCATTTTTGCAACTCACTTTTTAGTTTGTTGGTTGCTATTATCCACCAAGAGGTCCCTTATCTTTTCGTTGTAAACCTCCAACATGCTAACAAACAATTCATATCTCATGACACCACCTCTTTCTTGAGAAATACGAAACAACTCCTCCACTGTCCTGTAATTAACTCCCCTATTTTCTGGTGTTCCCTCCATTGTAAACGTCTTACCAGTTCCGGTTTGTCCATATGCAAAAATACACACGTTGTAACCATCCAACACCGAAGTCACAATAGGTTTTGTTTGGGCAAAAACGGCCTCTGCATTGTTTTAAAGATGAAAAATTCAAATCAGAAAATTCTTCAAAAGAAAATTAGCTAATACACAATATTAAAATCAGTGCGATTGCTCACCTTGGTTGTCCTCTGGTCTAAACACATGGTCAAACTTGAATTGCTTTTTCGAAGAATCAGAGCAAATGACCTGGAGCTCATTATCCACAGATGAGTCATACTCAATGACGGAATTACAGCCATTAGCAACTTCATATTGGTTTATTGGTCTACATCTGCAGAAGACCCTGATGTTCCCTTTAAGCTCAATCACTTCATTGTAAAGCCGCTTCCTCTCGGAGCTATCCTTGATGTACTTTTTCTTTAAAAGTTCATAATCAGTACCTAAAGTTAATCGCGCAAAATTAGCAAGAGAAACAGTCATAAACGAAGGCAGAAGAAGAGGAGATAACTAAAATGTGTCAAATATGAGCAGTAAAGACTTACTGAGAAGCTGAAGACTGTTTAGAACTGCAGGGTCTGGAAAGGAACTTGTCGTGAGCTTTACTTGATCAGATAGGGTGGCGTGTTCCCTCTTCAAATCCTGAAAACAGTCATAAACAATAATAAATAAATATATATAGGGCAGAAACAAGAAAAAATGTACCTATTTTTACTTGATAATTTTATTTAATTTGCTCACATTAGACCATGTGCTACCGGTTAACATAAAAAATTATGAAGAACAATAATATTCAAATCATACCTGAATTTGGGTGCTCAAATTGATAACTTTCTGCAATATTGGAAGGGTCTGCCCCTGATCTAAAGAGGCATCTTGGATTCCATTCGACATCGTCGTCTCATCTGTCAATTCAGAATATCCCTCGAATTTATCTGAAACAATATCTAAATTCACTTGAAATCAATTATCACGCGGTACAGAAGCAGAAAAGACAATTTAAAAGACAATTCTTCATCTTTAGAGAAGAAAACACCGGAATGGAATAAACCATAAAGTTTTAAATGCACATATCCAATCACTTATGATGAACAGTAATTAACTCATTTTTAAGTCTTTGATTGTTGTGGTCTTAGACCAAACAGAGAAAAATACGTCAAACTTTCTTTTCCATTTCTCAGCAACCAAACACGGGGCTTGTGCGGAAAAAGGGAACTAAGTTCACGCTGTAATTATCATCCTTATCTTGGCCTACAGATCAAAATCAACGCTAGAAAAAAAATTTTAAAAAGAAAGAATGCTGAATCAAATTGTCAATTGGCCTTTGATTTCTTCGATAATTCCTTGAAGCCGCAAAAGTAAAACAAACTAAAGTCGGCGTCATAATTGAAACACGAAATGTAGGATAAAGTAAAACAACCGCGACTTCTGGTCATGGGTTTCATTTCCTAGGGTTTGATCATAGAACAGCCAAGCCTCAATTCAACATTTTCTCGCACTCGAGTGAAAATGGAAATACAAGGAGGAACAAAACCAAATAAACAAACCTAATTCGAAATTCTAAGCACCAATTTTCGTAGTTTAGAATCCCCAAAACAAAAAATTTGAAAACTAAGGAAAACAAACAAACAAGATGGAAATAATTGGGATCGGACATGGAGAAACAGGTTAGAAGAAAGCGAAACCTCTTTCAAGGACGATCGAAGGCTGGGAATCTTGATTCGGAACTACTTCGCACTTGTCGGAGAGAATTTCCACCGTTTGATCTGGACAAAACGAACAAATTTCAGAGTAAAGAAACGGAGTACTGAAATCGAACACGGAAAAAAAGAAGAAGATGAAGATGAAGAGAGAAGTGGAAGTACCGTCCATGGCTGTGAAAAACGAGAGCAAGATCGTGAATTTCAGAGAAGAGAGAGAGAAAAAGAGAGATTGAAGAGGAAGAAGAAGTGAAAAACGAGAGCAAGATCGTGAATTTCAGAGAAGAGAGAGAGAAAAAAAGAGATTGAAGAGGAAGAAGAAGATCTTTGAGAGAGAGCTAGAGAGAAGCGAGCGAGCGAGAGAGAGAGAGAGAGAGAGAGAGAGAGAGAGATAGAGAGAGGAGAGAGAGTGGTTGAAATTATTTTAAGCGGCGAAGGGTAGGGTTTTGATTGGATTCAAGTTTGAATTGAATGATTTTGAGCCGTTCGATTGAACTTGCACCAGCTCACTCTTTCTAACGGCTATTTTATAAAAGTTCTGGAGCGTCGATGGACTCCTTTATTACCCCCCAATCCTCTTTTTAGACATCGTCCGTTTTTTTCAAGACGATGTCGTTTCTTTAAATTTGTAAAGGTTTTATTGGTTTTAGACTGTCGTTTGATAGATAACTGTAGTTGCGATGTTCAGGACTTCTCTTGCACGGCAGATTTATAAGGGTGGAGTTGAAATATGTACTTTAAATTATTTTAATACTTTTAAATTTTAGCCTCTCACGAATAATCATTATCTCCTAAATTTTAAGTATCACTACTAGTACACAAATTTTATAAAGGTTAAACATCAATTCTTCCGTGATTAAATTGTAAAAAATGGAGAAAATGAGCATGTGGGCACATGAGATGCCATTGGAGTTGTTAAAAAGGTCATTGATAATGCTTCTTGGCTAAATTATCTAATTTGGAGGCAAAGTTCTATAAATCCCAAATTGCATTATTTGAGGGAAGAAAATTTCTTATTTTCTCACCACAATGTCGAAGAATGCTTCTCAGAACAACAATTTGAAGGAGAAAATCAGTCGAGTTTCATCTAGTTTCAACAAATTTATTTCTCTTCCATCTTGTGATGTGCTTATTCCATTCATTTTTTCAACGGTTATGTCACTTATAAATTTTGACATTAGTAGTGCGACATTTAACAATTTAAAGGTTAAAAGTGAGACAATAAATATTCATCAAATGTTAAAATTAAAAGTAACCCTTAATAAATTACCCTCATTAAAAAAAGCATCATGTGTGCATACTTGCTCATTTCATTTATTTTTTAACAGTTCTATTACGGAAAGATTGATGATGCAATATTTATAAAGTTCGAGTATTAATAGTGTAACATTTAAAAGTCTAAAAAATAAAATGTGACGGTGAGTATTCTTTGAAGGTTAAAATTGAACTTAACCCAAGTTCCAATTCCATGTCTCTCTCCTTTATTTTTATTTTTATTTTTATTTTATATGTTATTTTTATTTTGTTTTGGATTAATATAGTAGTCACTTTTCATCAGAAATAAAAAGACTATTTATTATAGTTACAAAATAAAACGACGACGTTTACTTCCCGAACAGCAACGTGGCGAATTGCGGGTCAATGTGAGCATTCATCAATATCAATTTTTTCATAGAAGAAGATAATACTTCTCAGAAAAAGAAAAAAAATAAAAATAATAATCATGATTCATGGCGAGTTGAATGGTGGAGTTTGAGGCTGTGTAGCAGCAAACCAGAAAAAGCAAGTTCGATGGCTTCCACATACCCAAGTTGCCATTTCTGCTGCTCTTCTTCTTCTTCATCATCGCCAATATTAACCAACTCATCCTTCACCACTCGCTTAACTTCCTTATCCTTTTCTCGCTCCAACTCTATCCTCACCACCACTTTCAACGCAAATTCATCACTCACCAGAATTCATGCCAAGTTCGAGAAATTCCAAGGCGCCCCTCCACAAGACGGTCTTGAAGAAACCACCACGCCTTCTTCTTTCCAAGCGGTTCAAGAAGGTGAGGAAGAGGAAGAAGATGACAGGTAATTAGTTGGTTTAATTATTTCGTCCAAACGAGTTTTAGTGATTCTTAACTGTTGATCGACTTATCTGGGTAGTGTTTGTTTTTGTGCATATTTTTGTGGTTGGATCATTGTAAGGAGGAAAGAGGAAAAATGGCGGTACCCTTTTGTATTATCTATGTGAATTTGAGATATTTAGGCGTAATGGAAGAATTCACTCGAGTTGATAAGCACTTTGAAGACAGTTTGTGCCCCTTTAAAATTCATTTTAAAATAATTTTATTTTTTGTATTAAAATAAAAAAAAATCGTTTTTAAATAAAAATTATTTTTAAAAATACGTTTAGTAATTTTATTAAAAAATTATATTTAATATAAAAAAATTTATTAATATGCCTCTTTGTTTGAACGATGAGAAAATAAAAATAAAAAATAAAAAATGATTAAAAATTATTTTTTATTTCTTTCTTATTTTACACTAAATTAAAAAATTATTTTTATTTTTAATTGTGTCAAACGTCATTTTAAAATCGTTTTCATTTTTTTTTAGTAAAAAAATGTAAAAAATAAAAATAAAAATAATTCGCATTTGTTTTGATTGTCATACCATTTACTTGGTTTTCATGTGATACTATTGTGAAATATATACTTTTCAGCAATAGCAAAGAATGGTATTCTATCCTACCGAAAAAACACATTTTTGAACCGTCATATCTTTATTATGTTCTACTAAATTGCCGTACATATTTTTAATCTGATATGATGCTCCAATGGTGTTGCTTGAGGTTGAGTTATTTGCTTTTGGATTGGAGAAAGTGAAATGGAAGACTAATGCAATTGATTTTGTGTTTTCAGCTGCTTGCCTTCTGACTTGGAGGGGGCAGTCCGGCAATCGGGCGAAGCAAGTTCATTGTTTGTGTCTTCAGGAGGAATGAGAGCCATAGTACGTGCCAAATGAAAATGTAAAATCTTATTTATATATACGAATTATTTGAATCACTTCGTTTTCTTGTTTTGTGTTTGGATTTCATGCGGCCAGAAAAGAAAACTTTAGTTTGGTTTGTCATAGTTTTAGCATAGAATTGTAACTTAAGATGTATAAACATCAAATTCTAAGCCAACTGAGGCACTCTAATTTGAAAATTCTGGACACTCTTTGAGATCTGCTAGTGCTGCTTGCTTTTCAAAAGCTTTTCCATTCAGGGAGGGAAAAAAAAAATTAAAAGATCTTTTCCATATAAAACTGTTCAAGGGAGATACTGTATTGTAAGATGACTAAGTTTGTTAACTGAAAATTTTGCAAATATGAAACATTTAAGTTAAGAAAAATCTCACAAAAAGATTGCATAATCTGCTGCTGATTGGTCATTTCTCTATTACATTTTTTTTTTGTCTGATCACTGTTCATTGTAATAAATTAAATTAAAATATTCCAGGTTGAGCTCCTAATCCCCCAGCTGCAGTTTCTAGATGATGAAGGTGCACAAGCTGAGCTCTGGGAGCTTTCAAGAATTTTTTTGGATACACTTATTGAGAAAACTGGATGTCAGGTTACTTACAAGTATCAAAAATCTTTTGCATTTAGGATTAGCTTGAATCATATTAGAATAACTTGATTGAAAAAGTCTACTTCACCTGATCTTATGTTTCTATTGCATGCTCTTTTCTTTCTATGCAAAAAACCTGTTTATCTGATCTTATGCTTTTATTGCATGCTCTTTTCCCTCTATGCAAAAACTTGTTTTATGAAATTGATATTTTCATAAAACAGTTCTGTTTTTTTTTTTTTTTTTTTTTTTTTTTTTTTTTTTTTTTTTTTAACTCTCTTGTTTATTCAACTTCTAATCTAAATGTCTATTAAATTTTAGAAAGTTAAAGCCATATTTCCGGATGCTGGTGCCTCAGCGCTTCTAAAGTATAAGTGGAAAGATGCTGCTTTTGGGTTCTCCAGGTAATCTATACCGTGCGCTCAAATTTCCATTTTTGTGGTAAGCCATCCTTTTGAAGTGATGTTGGCCACATATTTGAGATATATTGTTCATAAAGACTAGCCAAGTCTGTTGCTTTGTATACTTATTTCATTCCTTGTTATGGGACTTTTGTGTCTCTTTTTATTCAGCTTAAGTGACCGGAAGCCCGTTGAGAGTGAAGACGAAATTATGGTTATGGTTGTTCCTGATTATCAAATGCTAGGATATGTAGAGAAAATTGCATCTCAACTCTCTGATGATCCGGTAACAATCTATCATCTTCATCGTCAATCATTTATGCTCCTGTTTGTTTCACTAATTTAGCTCATTTCAACTTAGTTTGAACAGTGAGCACAGTTTAAACTCGTGTTTGGTAAGCACGTAGATCGAATTATATTTCCCGTTTGAACTGACTTAAATTGTCTAACTTAGAGTTTAGCTCCCTCTTAAGTTCAACTGTTCAAACCATTTTTGAACAGTAAAAAGGTGTCCACTCTCTCTGCTTTTCAAACCTATCAAACACAAATTTGAATTTTATTCCCTGTGCAGATTAAAACTTTAACTGCACATCCAAACGCTAATTCGAATCGCAATTTAAAACCACACAATTTGAATTTTTTTGTTCAAACAAAAAAGTTCAAATCAACAAAATTCAAACCAACGAACCAAACAGGAGCTAGATTCATAGCAGTGGCAAAGTTCCATTAATTAATATGTCGGCGTCTTCAATGTTTTCTTAGATTTTACTTTTTCTTTTTTGGGGAAACCATTAGATAAAGATTTTACTTTTTACACCTTGAAAACATTTTTGTGTTTGGAATATTTCCTTGTATATTGGCAGCCAAGGCCTCTGATCATGTGGAATCCTCGCCTCATCAGTGAAGATGTTGGAGTTGGCTTTAATGTTCGGAAGTTAAGACGCTACTTTCTTAGGTAAACTCTGCAAGCTAGCTGTTTTACATGACCATTATCTGTTTATCTGTCTTTCCAACTTTTACTCCTGATAGATTTTGCACACGCCAACTGTAGTGTTAAGTATTTGAGCATTGTGATTTATCACCGGTAGCGATGACTACCGCAAACACAAAAATGTTTGTCCGACATTTTTTTTTTTTTCAGCACATTTACAACAGTCTACTCAATGAGGCCTCTGCCATCTGGTGCTGTGTTCAGATGCTATCCAGGGTAAGGACTTCATAACATATTTTTGGAAGTCAATGCAACTCCTCAGATTGATTTACTGTGTTTCTGATTTTGTTGGTGATAATCTGTACCAGATTATGGAAGGTATTCTATGATGATAAGGATAGACCAAACAGATATCTTCTTGCCCAAGAACTTGTTAGACGTCCTGACGCCGAAGAACTTGAGGTTTGTTGCTGCTAAAAGCTTCATAATTTTCAACTCAATCACATTAACATGTTTAACAAGAGGATATCTAGTGTATATGAATTTATTGACCCTAAATAACTAACGTTTTTTTTTTTTTTTTGGTGCAGCTTATATTTGGCAATGTAGAAGAAAATTCAGAGGGCCCATCTTTCTTTGACAAAGCAGCAGGCATCTTCTCTTCACTAAATCGATTCATGAGGGCCATTTCAAAATAAGCCTCCTTTATGAAATTCAACCTTTAAGCTTATCTCAGCTTCCCCCTGTTAATTTATAGGATGTATCCAACATCATATTACATAATGTGAAAGATATTTCTTGCACAATCCAAGTCATGTTTGCTTCTACTTCTACCCTCTTTTCATTAAACTAAGAAGTACAAACTATCTTACCATATCATTTTCTCTTATCCATCCAAAACAGTTGGGGCTCAAACTTTTAACTCTACTTCTTGTGCTAAAATGACCGATAACTTGACTGGCTGAATCGACCGAGGCTATAACCTATAAGTACAATTGAAATCCTTACTTTGCCAAAAAGTTTCATTATCATACAAGGATCCGAGGCTATAAGTACAATTGAAATCCTTACTTTGCCAAAAATTTCATTATCATACAAGGAATCCGATCCATAATTCCTCTTTTCACAACAGTTTATAATTCACCAAAAGGGTGTATTTACTGGAGAAGATGCATCTTTAGAACCCTTATAAAAATCGGGGTAAAAAGAGTACTAATTATAACACACGTATTTGAATTCCAAATGCATCATCGCGAATGAGCTATACACACAATTTCTATCAACATTGCTCTGTGGACATATCGGCTGGATACTCTGTTTAGTGCTTGGAGTGTTGCAAAATTCAAAACCAGTCAACATTTTCTGTTGAAGCTTTGACCTGCTTCGTTGGCCTTTGGTACCTATTATTTTCAAACCTGGCTTTAACTATGAGACTGTACAGCATATCCGCCTCAGCCGAACTGTCATAAGGCACGTTCAAGATGCTACATAATCAAGCAAATGATACGAGAGGAAAATTGTTAATAATGATCCTATGAAGTAGCACATACTTGGAAGGCATTTTATGCGTTAGCAACAGCAGGAAAAAGAATGACTGAATTTCCAACTCTACTTTTCAAACCACCACAGAAAGAAAAAGTTGAGCAGTCAACAGATTCTAACTATGCTGACAAAAAAGCGTTAGGCGGTTAGTATAATCACCTTTCAAGTAATTCCTCTAGAATAATTCTCTGCGTCGGTGTGACATAATGAATGCAACTTCTTGGGCACTGACCAACTGCAAGCTGGACTTGGTAATCTTCTCCATGTCCTAATTTCATATAAAGTGGCTTAAATGAAGGCAATCATAAAATAGCTATCAAGTTATTGTGCTAGTTGTGATGTTTAAGAAATAAAATCTTCTACAAATAGATACAAATGTACACGGAAGGAATTCAGCAGGGAATCCACCAACCTTGAGAAGTTGCTCTTGCAGTTCCAGTTGATGCAAATGTGAAGGCATGAGGGGCTGTTGATACACATGAATACGGGCATCCTGCTTACATTTTAGAAAAAGTGTTTGAATGAATTAGGAGTTAATAGTTTATGACATTTAGACTGATTAAATTCGCCATAAACTTTCCTTCAATGGAATAATTATATGACACGGGCTTCCTCAAGAACTAGTGAAACAAGTTCATTTTCTTAGGACCCAATTCAACAATGGAGAAAAATTCCGGATTTCTTTCCCAATTATGTTCACCACTGACAAATTTTCTCTAACAATTTATTAGCCGATTTCGCAACCAGAAACAGCTGAACATTATCAGAGTCAAGTAGGTCACTACCTTTGCCAATACAAACAGCCTCATTCACGAAGACATCAAATGCTTCACATTCTGGATTGTCAAAGGGGTCTAAGCATTCACTACAAAATAATATTCCAACCGTCCGTGAGCATTGCTTTACACATTGTACAATAGAACAAAAATAACAACTATTATCCACGAAGCATAAAAGTCTAACACCTAAGTCTGTATTAAAAAAATCAAAGCTTACCTCTCAATGATCTCCAATCGGCTGCAATTGGATAACATCTGCATTACATTATATTAGAAACCATTTTACCGTTACTCATTAGAGAAGTGCCAGGAATCCCAATTTGTTTCAATTTCTAGTACCAATTCAGTAACAAGTGAGTTTCAATTTTCTATTTGTAAATGCAACTTTTTATTAAAGTAACAAATTCTAAACACCTCTTAATAATCGAATAAGAGCTCACGTGCTATGTCAGCTGATATAAAAAAAGTTGGGTAAAATTTGGAGACTCTGGCAATATTCTTTCTAATTAATACAAACATACTTAGACAAACATAGCTATAAGTAACGAGTCTTCTTATGCTTGGAAGCTAACACCAACAAAATGATTGCACATACTTAATGCCCAATTTTCCCAACTTGATGAAACTAAAGTCTCTGTTTGTTTCACAGGTTTGGAGTTTGAACCAAAATTTCGGTTCAAACTTTTCTCTACGCTATTTTCTTTTATAAAAATTTAAACAAATTTGAATTTCTATTCTAACCTAGAATCAAATGGGCCACAAATTTTCAGTTCATAATAAAAAAACTTTTTTTTTTTTCTTTATCCTTTTTTCTTGGGGGCGAATGAAAGTACCTCATAAGCCTGAATAACACGCCGAATCATTGCATCGGAGCCTTTGCCGGTCCTATTCACATCTGGATGGAATTGCTTGACCTATTTCACAAAACAATTACAGCGAATTGAACCTAAAGAAATAATAACAGTAATGTTTTAAAAATGCCTAACAATTTTCAAGAAAAAAAGAATGATACTTTGGTGCGAAAAGCGGCTTTGAGGTCGGCGGCGGAGCACGTGGGGTCCACGCCAAGGACAGCGTAGGCGGAGGAGGTGGTTGAGAGAAAAGGACCGTCGTCTTTGTTAAGCTCGCCGCCGGTACTCGTTTTCACTGTGAACTTTTTGTCAATCTCGCGACTTGTTCTAAAGATGGGTCTGGTAAAGGCGGCTTTTCGAAGCGGCACAACTGTAGGGCTCCAACTGTAGAGAGATAAGACCTCCATTTCTGATCTCCGGACTGGAGCTCTGCGAATTCTAGTTTCCCGGTAGAAATGCGAGGAAGTTTATTCAGTTATAAGGTCTGGCTTTTTTTTTTTTTAGATAAGACCTCCATTTCTGATCTCCGGACTGGAGCTCTGCGAATTCTAGCTTCCCGGTAGAAATGCGAGGAAGTTTATTCAGTTATAAGGTCTGGCTTTTTTTTTCCTTTAATTTCACTTTTGGCATCTTAACTATGATTGTTATCCCATTTTAACCAACAAAGTCTAAAACGTTACAAATTGCCCCTAAAACTGTATTTATTGTACCGTGTTTGAGAATTTAGATGCAAAAGATAGATAAAAACCAAGGAAATCAATCATTTAAATCTCATATTACTTGTTAATAAAGCATATTTTGAATAAATCGCGGCCTAAAATTAAAAAGAACAAACTCAGGTAAGGAGAACATAATATGTTGAGCATGTGAATGATAAATTGCACCAAAACTTCCTTGCCCACTGATCTGTCACATATTTCTAAATGTTATAAACTCCAATTACATTATGAAAAAGGGAGGTTCCTAAATCAGGAGAAAAAAAAAAGCTAATTATAGAGGTACATAACATCCAGGAAAACTGAGAGTAAATTAGTTATTCATTTCATTGATTGCCTTTTTTTTTTATTATGAGGAAAATCTAAAGCCACCCACTAAAGGTATAAATTGTCAATGATAGCCCTTTTTATTATGTGGATTAGACAGCAGATTTCCTCTCCATTTCTTTATATTGCACTATGACTTTTGTCCCATAATTATATATATCAACTTAAAAAGAACACAATTCAAAGAGAATGGTACAAAAGCAAAGAGTTGAAACCACCTTCATATAAAGCTAAGATTACTTGAAAGTTAGAACTTCAAAATCCCATTTCTTTCCAAACGTTCAACAACATTGGCAAAACCAAAGACATGAGTGGTCTTTGTTGTGGGTTCTCTTCTGTGCAGGCCAACGCTATATGAACCAACCCAATGCAGCATTGCTCAAGCCTCTCTAGACTACCAACTGAGCCTCCCAAGCTTGCCTGCCGTTTCAGTGCAATGTCCACGACATCCAAAATGTTGTTTGGATAGCGAGAAACCACCCATTTCCTTAGATCAAGCCCATCCGAAAACATACTATTTGTGGGTCTTTTTCGCGTTATCATCTCTAGCAGCACCACCCCAAAGCTGTACATGTCCCCTTTGGCTGTCACCTCAGTCCCCTGTCCATATTCTGTTTTGAAAGTAACAGAAAGTGTTATTATCTCAATGAAATTTGAGATGCTTTCGCAAACCTTGCAACAAAAGTTTTCTACAGTTCATGTCTTTTTTAATTATCATCCAATGCCTGAAAAAGCATTGTACGGTACTATTTATTGAGGTAAAAGATTGTCTTCATGGACCAGAAACATTCTCGATAAGTAATATTGCATACCTGGGGCAATATAACCTACTGATCCTCTTAGAAAATCTGTTGTGCTGGCCTGTTCACTTGTTCTGTCTAGCAGTAGCTTCCCAATCCCAAAATCAGCTATATGAGCCACCATATCATTGTCAAGAAGCACATTTTGCGGTTTCAGATCACAATACACAACTTGAGTTGGACAACCCTCTTGAAGATACTGCAATCCATTGGCAGCATCTATAGCTATTGACAATCTCTCCTTCATTGTTAACTCACTAGTTTCTTCTTCCTCAGATTCACCGGGATACAGATGTTGGTCCAAATTGCCGTTTGGTATGAACTCGAGAACAAGAGCCTTGAAGTGCGGATTCCATGTCGATCCCAACATTCCAACCAGATTTCTGTGCTTAATCTGGGACAGAATTTTGAACTCCCTCTTCAGGTTTTTGTAATTCCCACCAGATTCTTCATGAAGAACCTTAACTGCAACAGTAGTTCTTCCATCATCCATGGTCGCCTTGTAGACCGACCCGAAGCCCCCTCTACCAAGAAGATTAACCTCATTGAACCCAGCTGTAGCAATCTCAAGTTCTCTTTGGGTGTAAATTCTTCTCCCATGAATGGTTGGAAATGCTGTTGGTATTACACCTTGCTTCTTATACTTTTCTCTCAAGAAAAAGTACCAAATAATGAAAGCAACCAACAAAAGTAAAACACAGCTTGGTATTACTGCTAGGATCACATAGAATACCTTCTTCTTTTTCTTATGTTTTTGGTGCTGAATTTCACATGGAGGAAGGCCCATTGTTGAAGAACCTCCACACAACCCCAGATTACCTAAGAATGAGCTTCTATTGAAAAAACTAAAATTTTGAGTTTTGGGAACTTCTCCTGATAATCTGTTGTACGATAGATTAAGAGTCTTGATCGTGTTTTTGTCTCCAATCCAAGCTGGAATAGTGCCGTTTAATTGATTGCGAGTCAAGTCAAGAACTTCAAGATCTGTGATTAGTTTCAATGACTCTGGAATAGGCCCTTGAAGCACGTTGTTGGAGAAGTTGAGATATATCAAAGAAATGCAGCCTTCAATCGCACTCGGTATGACACCGGAGAAGTTATTCTTGGACAAGTCAATGGACTCCAGAGATACTAGCTTTCCAATTGTTTCTGGTATGCTTCCTATGAAACCGTTATTTGACAGGTTAAGTGAGAAAGCTAAGTTTGGAAAAGATCCAATCTGCGGTGGAATAGAACCCCGCAAGCGGTTGTAAGACAAATCAAGCAACATCAGAAGAGAACACTGTGTGAGCTCAATGGGAAACTTTCCAGATAGTCTGTTATGAGACAAGTAGAGGTACCTCAACTGTGGGAGAGTACACAGAGAAGGTGGGATCGACCCCCTAATCAAATTTGTATTGAGATCAAGTAATCCAAGATTCGCCATCTTCCCTATGTCATCTGGAATCTGGCCATGTAATCTGTTTTTCCCCAAGCTTAGCCTTTGCAATTTTTCTAGCTTGCCAAGGGCTGCAGGAAGGGTCTCATTGAAAAAGTTGTACCACAAGTCGATGTCAACGAGGCTGCTCAAGTTTCCAATACTCTCTGGTATCTTTCCTGAAATGCTGTTATCCCTTATGTTCAAGTAATAAAGCTCTTTTGAAAGATCACCAACAGAATCCGGCAACTTTCCGACAAACAAACACGAAGCCAGGTGCAGCTTCTTCAGATGTGAACAGTTTGTTAGAGATGTTAAGAAACTTAAAGAAGAATGATCAGATCCACTTATCAGGTCATTGGAATGAAGGTAAAGAATCTCAAGGTTTTCTAGCATTCCTAATTCTTTCGGTACTTCACCTTCCAGTTTGTTCATGCTTAAATCAAGTAATATCAGTTGAGAAAGATTGGAGAGGGTTACAGGAATTTTCCCAGAAATCTTGTTCATTTGAAGGTACATCTTCTGTAAATTCCGCAGTTTGGAACCAAGCTCTGGTGGGATTTCTCCACTTAACTGGTTACCGATGAGTGAAATCTCACGTAAAGCAGTGCAGTTACTTAGCGCGGAAGGTATGGACCCCTCCAAATTGTTCACATGGAGATACATAATCTCTAACTTTTTCAGTTCGCCGAGCTCTGGCGGGATTTCCCCTGTGAAGTAATTGTAAGACAGTTCTAGTCTTGTCAATTCTGTCAAGTTTGACAGAAATGAGGGTAAGGAACCTGTGAAGACGTTGCCGGTGAGAGATAAGTATGTCAAGCTCTTCATCAGCCCAATTTCCTCAGGAATACCAGAGAGATTGTTGTCAGTCAAGTCCATGAATTTTAAGCTTCGACAACGGTGCAGCGAAGAGGGGATTTTACCTTGAAGCTGATTTTCACTCAGATTGAGATGTACTAGTTTCGAAAGTTCTCCAAAAGAAGTCGGGATTTCTCCGTGGAATCTGTTGGTATGCAGTAAAAGTTTGGCGAGAAGAGAAAGATTGAACAGAAATGGTGATAAGCTTCCTTGCAATCCCATGTCTGAGAGTTCGAGAACAACAACCCGGTTTTCGACGTGCTCGTGGCATGTGACACCGGTCCAGTTGCAGAAGGGATTTGCCTCATTCCATGCTTGCAGATGGCCATTTGGATCACTTGTTATGCCTTTCTTGAACTTGAGAAGTGCCTTGCAGTCATTGTAATTCTCACAAACAAACGTAGAAATACATGGTGCAACAAGTAAGAGAGAGTATAAACACAATATACTTTTCTTTACACACAGCTGATCATCATAACCCATTTCTCTCCTCTTTCTCTTTCTCTTTCTCTCTGGATTTTGAATACAACACCAAGACATATTTAGTTGAGTAATTTACTGATCTGAAAAAGTCAAATGACATGAAACATGATTATAATTGGGATTGATTCACAACCATTACTGATATTCTATTCTTTTTTCTTGAAAATCAAAGATACACTAAAATAAAAAAAAATAAAAAAGAAACAATACAACACGCATAATATTTATAATGCTACCTTTCTCGATTGCTTTGGTTGTTCGGTCTTTAATACATATTGACAAAAGGTGACATATACAATTGGAGTGGACTAAAAGCGGCTTTCAAGATGAGCAGGATAAGATGCTGGATTTGGAAATGAGTAGTTGGACCACTTCATTTAATGTTCATCTTCTGGTAGAAGTTTTGGACTTTGATAAGTAATGGTACTGGTATAAATAGTTTCTATCATTATGGACTTGTTTTTTATAAGTGAGGATCTTTAATGCTTTATTAGTTATTATTATTATTATTATTATTATTATTATTATTATTATTTGGGGAATGCTGCATTCTTTCACATTATGTATATAAGTGATGGAAAACATTAAACAATGGGAAAAGCCTTATTATTTTTAACCATTGGAAAAGCTATTTTTAACTTTTAAAAGAAAGAAATTTACTTGTATATAATTTCAAGATTTTTGCTTTTCATTTTTTTTTTAAGTTGATCAACACTTTCATGTTAGTCAATTTGTACTTGAATAAGTGGCTGCCAAAGAGAAAAATAACTACCTACAATGTAATTTATTAGTTGCGTCTGAATGAAAATTGATTCGGCAATAATTTATTGTTTTTTTAGAAGAATAATTGATTGTTATTAAAGTCCTATTTTTCTGCACAAAGCATTCCAACTGCGGATTAGTTTGCCAAATTATTCACTGCATAAATTTTTACTGGTTTGATGACATAAAACTTCCAACTACTTATAGTATTATATTCAATATATGTTTTCCTCTCATCATGACCAAAATATATGCCGACGTTTGGGAAATCCAGTTGGAAGACTTCAAGTCTTAAACTTTTTTTTTTTTTTTTTTTTGGACTCATCCATTCTTTTTCAATTTTCTTCTCCTTCCAAGATGCACCGAGGGTTTTGTGCAGTAGGGTGTGTGATGGCACGAGTGAACACTAGCCCATCCTTCAAGTAGAAATGGGTCAGAACCTTTCTGTGACATTTGATAGGCTCGGATTTTAAAAAGACGAAGGGAATGAGGGGTGGGATGGCATCAATATTTCCCTTTGATAAAAAATGGTAAAGATCAATCCAAAAATGCAAAAAGTTTAATGACTTTGAAGAACATTTTAATTCCATTGTACTACCATGTTGTTTTGGAACTCGGAAGTATAGCTTCACTTTTTTTTTCCTTTCTTAGATGTATGAATTAACTTTCCTGTACTCCAAATTTGTCAAGTTTTTTCATCAGTTTAGACTTTAGACAGTAATACAACCAACACATGCCTGGAGAAAAGGCAAGCACATCTTTCATTTATTCTGATAACAAAACAAAGGAACTACTTACTAAAGCATAAGGATCAACTCGCAGTTCTTTTGAAATGTTCGACAAAATTTGCTCAACTGACGACATAAGGGGTCGTTCTTGCGGCTTCTCATGTGTGCACATCAATGCAACATTTAACACTTGAATGCAACATTGCTCAAGCCTCTCCATACCACCATCTGAGCCATCTAAGCTTGCCTGCTTTTTCAATGTGGTATCGGCAACATCCAAAATGTTGTTCCGAAGTGAAGAAATTGCCCATTTCCTCAAATCAAGCCCATCTGAGAACATACTGCTTGTGGGCCTTTTTCTTGATATCATCTCAAGTAGCATCACACCAAAGCTGTATATATCTCCTTTAGCTGATACCTTTATGCCCTGCCCATATTCTGTTTTCACAAGTAACACATATTATTACTTCATTTGGAGTCATAGTTTCTTGGTATAGTTATCTTTGCTAGAAACAAATTAAAAAAAAAAGGAATAAATTTACTAGTAATCTGCATTCTACCATGCTTAAATAGACACTGAAAATAAGAAATGAAACATTGAACATTTTGCTGTTACAAGTTTCAGCATATTTGTAGTTCAGTGAGGTGAAGTTTTAAGCTTCCATAGGTGTGAGTTACTTTAAATCCTAATGTGGAATGTGTAGCTTTGGAGATTAATGAATTCCCATTTGGAGCGACCAAAATCAAATCTTTCTACTGAAGGTCAATATTGTCATTTCGCATTGTAATTTCAACCAGAACACATTACATGCGAAGTCTTAAGATTAATTTATATACACGAGAGATTATAATAGCATTCTTAAAAAACATAGGGTGAAACATGGCATTTTGATAAAACAAACGAGAGGTTTATGTACTCATCCCAAATCTCAATGACTCAGTTAGATGCATACCCGGAGGAATATAACCAACTGTCCCTCTTAGAAGACCTGTTGTGACGGATAGTTCATTTGGTCTGTCTAAATGAAGCTTTCCAATGCCAAATCCGCTATACAAGCCACCATATCATAGTCGAGAAGCACATTTTGCGGCTTCAGATCACAGTGTACAACTTGAGTTGAACAACCCTCTTGAAGATACTCTAAGCCATTGGCAACATCTATAGCTATTGACACTCTCTCCAATGTTAACTTACAAGGATCTTCCTCTAATCCACCAGGGTACAAATGTAAGTTAACATTGGCATAAACTCGAGTACAAGAGCCTTGAAACACGAATTCCAGGATGATCCCATGATTCAGAGCAGATTCTTGTGCTTGATTTCGGACAATACTTCACACTCTCTTTTTAGGCTTTTGTAACTCTGACCAGATTCTTCATAGAAAACCTTCACTGCAAAAGTAGTTCTTCCATCATCCATGACCGCCTTGTAGACAGAACCGAAGCTGCCTCTTCCGAGAAGATTAGCCTCATTGAACCTGATGCTGCAATCTCAAGCTCCCTTTGGGTGTAACTTCTAGTCCCACGAGTAAATTCAAGAATGCCTGAGAATGCACTTAACAAAGCAGATGCTTCTTCCTTACTGCTTTTTTTGAAGAAAAGGCGGCGGATAACTAAAGCTACCAACAGGAAAACAATACAACTTAGCATGACTGGTAAGATCACAAACAATGCCTTCTTGTTTTTCTGTTTGTGAACTTCACATGGATGAAGACCCATTTGTGAAGAGCCACCGCATAACCCCGCGTTCCCCACAAATGAGGTTCCACTAAAATTTCCAATTTTCAGAACTTCTCCAGATAATCTGTTGTAGGATAGATTAAGAGTCTTGACCATCTTCTTTATCTCCTATCCAAGCTGGAACAGTGCCATTCAATTGATTGTGACTCAAGTCCAACTTTCGAGATATATGATTAGTTTAAGTGACTCCGGGAGAGGACCTTGAAGCGTGTTGCTAGAGAAGTTCAGATACTCCAAAGAAATGCTGCCACCCATTGAACTTGGTGTGACACCAGAAAAGTTAGTAATTAATTATAAGTCATTACTATGTTAGTAATGTACTCATATTTATTAGATTATAAGTAATTAATTAGTGTATTAAGAAAAATAAGTAGTAGATACATAATTCATTAATATTTCTTTTACTACTTAAACTATTAACTTTTAGTTACATAATTAAATAATTAGTTAATTAATTAATAATGTTTATTTAATAATCTATTATTTGATATATCACATGATCAATTTTT